TCAAAATCGGTTCACCTAGTAATAAGTTATGAGTTAACACACATAAAAAAACATACAGTCGAATTAAGTACTGTCTCATTTTTGAAGCCGGTAGATAAGACCGCATTTGCCTTCATCACTACGATTTTAAGGGGGAAGATATATTTTACCCATTATAAAATAAAAATCTAGGAGTTTACTTGAGTTATCTCGTATAATGTCCAAGAAATGTAATACGATGATTCTCTAATACTACCACCGACATTTTACAAACGGCCATTACACAGTTATTCGTAATTTACTGCAAAGACAAATAAATAATAATAATAATACTTCGATATCTTGATTAAATTATAAATTCTAATAATTAAGCCATCAAAATTTTAAGAGCGGAAACTTTGTAAGCAAACTTCAAAATATATTTAAGGTGTTAAAATAATCACAAACTTTTACCACTGAAGCTAAAATGTTGTTATTCATTCGGTTTGATTAAATAAAGCGCCTGAAACAGCTAGAAGATAATATTATAACGGCAATGCTTATTTTATTGAAAATAATGAACTGAATTCGATAAAACTGTTTTAATGTTTTTTTTTAATGATGATTTCGAAGTTAGATGAAATTGAAATCATTTTGTAGACTGAAAAAAATAACGTGGATATAGATATTTATTTATAAAAAAGATGGTGCGTCTGAGTTCCGCGGCGCGACTGGAGTTTACGATGCCCGAGGAGCACCCAACACTCCGTGTGTTATTTCGAATATATATATCGCGTTAACTTCAGAACTTTGATAGCGAGATTTAGGCGTCGCTGCGTTTCGCTTACGGCGCGATGACAGCGACGCCACAGTTTTATATATAATTTATGTATTATATTTAATGTACTCGAAGTTTTAGAGTTTATTAATATCAATTTTGTCGCGTTTAGGCAACCTTGCGTCAATTTCACCATAATTTTACCACGTTTTTATTAACTCGTTTTCGTGAAGTCTGTTAGGTTCGAATTTAGTAATTGATTTTAAACTATTTTCTAGATGAGCTAGAGACTTGAACATAGCTCGGAATCAGACGACAATGTAAGAAAGAAAAAAATAAACAAATATAAGTTTAATACTTTTTGTCAGTTTAAAAACATGTTAAATACATATATACATATGGAGTTTTTGTATACATTTAAAACATGTGCGTGTAGATTTGTACACACGAACGACTTGAAATGTCTTTACCACAAATCATTCCTCTTTTATTTTATATTTTACATAAGTAGGTTAAAGTAAGCCAAAAAAAAACATTACAAGAAAACGTGTTTTTTTAAACACAGCACAAAATTTTTTAATAAAGAAGTTCTATTTAAAAAAAATTTTACTCAAATAATTAAAACGTGGCACCTCGAGAATCAAGTCAACCAAGTTGTTCGATAAATAACCTATAAAATGTAGTAGATTAATATATACGATACGATATTCATATATTATTTTACACGCGTTCAGTATGAGATGCGCAATTGTGTTGCGCGCAGGGGCAATATAACAACTTCACTTTTTAAAAATACTCGATTTGTCGCTCAACGAATTTTTTTGACCGTGGTCTATAATATATGAATATCGATTCCCAAGGAGTAAATGCCAAAATACAATACACTGACTAACATTATAAACTTAATTTAGCATTATATCTCTTAACACCAGAAACCTAATAAGACCCCTTACCAGAGTTACTATCTTTTTATGGATCAACCCTAGCCAGGCCCAACCACTTGTTACATTAAGTTACTATGCAATATTTATTTCAATAACTGAGAGAAGATACAAACTCTTATTAAAATGTATTTACAAATGGATAATCCAATTATATTTAATAAAATTAACTCTAAATATTTCGAAGCAAATAGATTATCAATTATTTTTTCATTAAAGTTTTCTGCTCTACATACATATTGACGTAACTCCATTTTCTATCCCCTTATTGGAATTTCATATAATTAATTTCGTCAGCATGTTGTCAAATAGGATCATACACAATGTTCATCATCATTACAGCCCTTCACAAATCCACTGCTGAACATAGGCCTTCCCCAAGGAATGCCACAAAGCACGGTCCTAAGCCACCTGCATCTATCGACTTCCTGCATATCTTACCAGGTCGTCACTCCATCTAGAGGGGGGACGCCCAACACTTCGCCTGACGTTGCGAGGCTGCCACACGAGAACCTTTTTTCCCCATCGGTTGTCGGTTCTTCGAGCCATATGGCCGGCCCATTGCCACTTCAGCTTACTAATCCGTTGGGCTATGTCAGTCACTCTGGTTCTACTGCGGATATCCTCATTTCTGAGTATATCACGCAGAGAAACTCCGAGTATAGCCCTCTCCATAGCTCGCTGAGCGACCTTGAGCTTCCTCATCCGGCCAGCAGTGAAGGACCACGTCTTAGTTCTGAGACGTGGTACATGTGATACACAATATGATCACTGGTAATTTGAGTCACATATATGTAATACCTACACTATCATAGTTTACTGATATTACATTGAATCAAAATTTAGATTATACAAATGATAGAAGAGTATACATATATTTAAAAATTAAAAACAGATCAGTATTAGCAAAATTATTTCTTTATAATGGCATGTCAAATATTCTCACTGCCTATTTATATTCAGCTCTATTTGTGCATTTTTAATGAATACATGATTACTTAATGTAGGCCAAGTGCCTTACGATGTGTCAATCTCGTGAGAATTTAATGATTATTACATAACAATATTAACACAATGTATTTTGATATTTTTGTTGATTTTATTATATTTTTGTCTTCATCATCCTGTTAGTGATGGGTCATGTATCTCAACTGCTGTAATAAGAATTCACCACATTAGTCACGCATAGCTGGTGAATTGATGATTGTAGTTGCAGACGTATAGAACACAAGACGTTAACTAAAATATTTAAAAGAGTGTGCTCCACAGCCAAGCTTCTGATAAAATGAATAACTTCAAGTATAATCAATATCAAAACTGACAAAATGAAACAAAACAAGTCAAACTTTCAATTAAATTTTAACAATAATTTTACAATATCAGATCAAGAAGTTGCTACGGTTTTTGAGCAATATTTTACTGATATTACGATCTTGTATACAAAGTAATTGAATTCCCCCACTAATGATGCCAAGACATTATTCAAACAAATTTTTTAGGTTTGTTTAAAATAATTTTCATTGCATAAAACATTATCAGGACATAATGTTATGTACACATTTTAAAACTATTATGTTAAGAAAACAGCAGACTTATGGGGGATTTCCGTTAAAGTTATTGCGTCAATAATAGATAAAATTGCACTTCAATTTGCTATTATTATCAACAATATTATGGAATCTGGTGAGTTTTCTGATTTATTTAAATCTGATCATTTATATTGATGAAACGATTATTTAAATCATTTCTTTAAATCTCGTACATTGGACCCCACTAAGTTTAAACTTACTTCTATACTGCCAAGGCTCCGTAAAAATACTTTATAGGATATGAGCAAGTAAGTTAAGAACCCTGTTTTATGGCATACTTTGGGGGAGGCCTATGTTCAGCATGGGACTTGTGAAGGGATCTAATGAAAAAGCATAATGATGAATGATGAGGAAGTTAAGATGGCGAGAGACTGGTTGTAGCGCCAGGATGAAGATTTAAAAACCTTTTTGCTTATAACGAGGTGAAAAATATCATAACAATCATAAACCATCACTTCAGTCAACCAGAGGGGTAGGTAGGAACTACAGACCTCCATTGGGCACAATCCTGATACTCCACTCTTGTTTCTAACATCCATATATATACGAATACATACTCGTCGGTTAAAGGTGCACTTAATTTGTCTCACTTCTATATTTCGTCAATTTGGTCGACGAGCTTCCGAATAGAGCGTCCCTTACCGACTCTGATACCCACTTTTGTGGCATCAAAACATGTGCATTTAATTTTATATCGAGACATTCTATCAGTTAAACTGTATGCTTTTATGTCACTATTTACGTTTATGTGAACGAATAATATAAATGGCCAATAAATATAACTTTTTATAAAACACACTGTTCTCATATTTAGTATGGAAGCAAATATCTATAAGTTTCTCACGGCTCGTTTAACAAAGTCGAATGTAATATAGTTGTAGCTTACTTTTCACCGGTAAGTTAAGCGGGAAACCACTGAAGCATATGGCGATATAAATGCATTGAACCGACTAGATGATGTTATCTATACATATAATAAAAATGTAAATAGCCGATGTCTGTACATTTTAGATTTATAAAATAAAAGTGATTGAGAGGTACTAAAAATAAGTACTTAAATACATTTCTACCATTTTTAGAATTTTCTGTCTGTTTGTCTGTCTGTTTGTTTGTTAACGTATCACGTATAAAGTACCAATTTATATCATAAGAATCGTTAAAGAAATTATAAAGTGTATATTCAAGTTACATTTAGTCTTTATTTCATTAAAATTAGTTCATTCCATCAAAAGTTATGATAAATATTCTGAAGTATGGCTACGAAGTATAGGTACGAATTTGTTCAATGGTGGCGTTCGGTGAATCATCAAGTACATTTTAAACTAATATCATATTATAAATCATAATTAAATGATGTAAAATAATGTTCTATAATAATATAATTATATCTAAAACGCAGTAAACAAAATTGTTATATAAAGAAGGTAATAAATATATAAAAAATATATTAACCTTATTGTTACCGCCACTTCTCAAATTAAAATATTCCGCATTATTGGTCAATCTTATTGACGAATCAGATTTTCTCTATAATACCATTCATTCATTCCTTATTGCGACCGACAACCTGGTAGAAGAAAAAGTGTAAGTAAAAACACGCCCGCACGCGGAAGCATATTGTGTTACGCTCGCTACTCGCATATCTATTTAATTATCATACACAAAAATCACGGCCGTGAATTGTATAAAATAAGTGTAAATTCTAAAATACTAGAAAAGGTGGTTTGCAAGCAGATGACAGAATACCTTGAAATCAATGGCGTACTGCCTGTTATGCAATCTGGTTTTCGCAAGGGCCATAGCACTACTACAGCTTTGCTTGAGGTAATCGATAATCTACTTGCAGCTCAAGATAGAGGTATGTGCTCAATTCTGGTGCTCTTAGACTTCTCCCGAGCTTTTGATTCAATCGATCAGTCATTGCTCCTGGCAAAGTTGTCATTCTATGGCTTTGATGCTAATGCGGTCAAATGGTTTGTCAGTTATCTCACTGGAAGGCAACAACGTGTGGAAATCATTACAAGTGACGGTACTAGGATTCAATCAATCCCCCAGAATGTTACACGAGGTGTTCCACAGGGCTCGATACTTGGGCCTGTTCTTTTCACGCTATATTCTGCTGATATCGTAAAGAAAATTAAACACTGTCATTACCACCTATATGCTGATGACCTACAAATGTACCTTTCCTTTATACCATCGCCATCAGGTCTTCTTCAGGCTATTAATAAAATAAATAACGATTTAGACGCTATTTCTGATTGGTCAAAGTTAAATTCATTGGTTCTAAACCCTGACAAGTCAAAGTTTATGTTAATAGGATCAAAAAATATGATTGCTAAACTTGTAAATGTCCCAATAGATTTAAAAATTGGAAACAGTTCTATTGATCAAATCTCCGAGGCTAGAAGCCTTGGGCTTAAGCTTGATAACCACCTGCGTTTCGAAGCACATGTCAGAGAAAGTGTACGAAGCTGTTTTTATAGATTAAAAATCTTATATAAAATCAGACCATTCTTAACAGAGCAAATGAGGATAAGACTATGCGAGTCTTTGATTTTGTCCAAATTAAATTACTGCGACGTGGTATTTGGACCTTGTCTATTAAGTAGGACTCAGAGGCTCATACAGCGTGTGCAGAATGCATGTGCGAGGTTCTGCTTCCACATACCACCTCGTACGCATGTTACTCCTTTTCTAAATAATGCAGGTCTATTAAAAATGTCATCGCGTCGAAAATTACACCTTGCTACCCTATTATTTGGAATAATTGCATTAAAAACTCCTCGGTACTTGTATGACAAATTAGTGTGGGTTAGCGAACAATCAAAATATCCTAAACGTAAATGTACTAAGGTCTTTGTTATTCCGAAACATAGAACAATGGCATTTAGAGGGTCCTTCAGGTATGCAGCTTCTCGTTGCTGGAACGATCTGCCGCCACCAATACGTGCTCTAAAAACTATAGGAATATTTAAAAAAAAACTGATATTAATGTTAAAACAAGACTGTAATCACAAATAATAAATAAAAATTTACTTTTTTTACGTATCCAATTTAAAGGGCCTCCATTTAATACTAAAAAGATATGATGACTGTAAGATTCACTGTATTTATTTATTTTTTATCTCCACACTAATTTTCAGATCACTTTCTGTTTTCGTTTCTTTTCGTTTCTTTTCGTTGATGGTGTTGTTAAATCTTCTTAGTCTTCAATTAAATTCAAATGTTTATTTTATTAAGATTAGACGATATATTTCATGTTGTTGAGTTGTTGAGCACTTGATCATGTATGTGTACATATAAGTATGTATGGATGTATAGATATATATGGGTTCATATGTAATTGTATGTTTATGATTGCTTAAACAATGTATTATTATTTCCAAATAATAACTCTTATTATGCTGATTCTGTCCCCACACTGAATATTTTGATCTAATTATAATTAGTTTTAGCTTTAGGTAATGTATGACCGTCCGTGAAGCCAATATTAGGCTCTATTTGAAAACCAGCGCTGCTGTCATCTAGTTCAGCAGCTGTTAGCTGAAATAGGGACCTAATTTGACTTTACACAAATCCTGTTTTTTATATCTCGTGTTATTTTTTTTTCTTTGTGATGTCAAATAAAGTTTTCTTTTCTTTTCTTTTCTTTTTAAATCGCGGAAGAAAACTAGGAGTGTACCACGCGAGTGTCAACCTCAAGTACAAGAAGAAGCTGACGGCGTTCTCCAGGTGCGTACCTTCAGTTTTATGTGTCGGTTGCAAATTTCAATGAAATCCAATTCCATCTACCTATTACAGTCCACTTTATATCTTAAACAAAATTTAAATGCGTGTACAAAGAATTTTACATTTCATAAAGAGTCATCAAAATATATTGTAAAATATTTTAAAACTATTGATGTTAAGAAAACTGCGGATCTGTGGCGGATTTCCGTTAAAGTCATTGCGTCTATAATAGATACAATCACGCCTCATTTAGCTAGTATTTTTAATACTAGTATCGAGTCTGGTGTGTTTCCTGATTTAATGAAGTATAGTAAAGTAATACCTTTATTTAAATCTGGTAGTACATTAGACCACGCCAATTTTAGACCTATTTCTGTACTACCAACACTTAGTAAGATTTTTGAAAAAATTGTTCTTAATCAAATATTAAATTTTTTTAATATAAATAATTTACTTCATAAAAATCAATTTGGTTTCACATGGAGTCACTCGACAACTGATGCCGGTGTTGAGCTGATTAAATATATCTTTAATGCATGGGAGAATTCACAGGATGCTTTGGGTATATTTTGTGACCTATCCAAGGCCTTCGATTGTGTTCACCATGAAACATTAATCAGGAAACTTCAACACTACGGTGTAAGAATTGATGCTTTTAAATTAATTATTTCATATTTAAGTAAGAAAATGCAAAAAGTTGTCATTAACAATATGAGCTCTTCCGGATCGATGGTACAAATGGGCGTGCCTCAAGGCTCAATTCTCGGCCCCTTTCTGTTTCTTGTATACATTAATGACTTACCTTACATAGTAGGAGATAACCATGATATAATATTATTTGCAGATGAAACTACTTTAATTTTTAAATTAAGTCGACAATTACTAAAATATGACGAAGTAAATAATGCTATATCTAAATTAGTAAATTGGTTCAATGTTAATAATTTGCATTTAAATGGCACATAACGAAATGTATGAAATTCATGACTCCAAATGTCAAACAATTAAATACTAATGTAATTTTAAATGACTGTTTCTGAGTTGTTTTTAAAAACTGAGTCTTGTAGATACCACCATTTTTCTCGGTTTCAGACTTAGTTCTGCAGCATATGCTGTAAAAAAGATTAGAAGTCTTACTAGTGTTGAAACAGATAGACTAGTTTACTATTTCCATAGCATAATGTCGTATGGTATTTTGCTATGGGGACACGCAGCTGATACTGAAATTATATTTGTTTTACAGAAGAGGGCCATATGAGCAATTTATGGTTTAAAGTCTAAAGAGTCGCTGCGACAAAAAATTAAGGAAATTAATATATTACTTTGGCCTCTCAATACATTTATGAAAATGTAATGTACGTACACAAAAATAAAGGTAGTTTTACAAAAATAAGTGATATTCATTCCGTAAATACTAGGAACAGACACAGGCTAGTAGTACCAGTTACTCGACTCCATCGAGTCAGTAATTCATTCTTGGGGCGATGTATACGTTTTTACAACAAAATTCCAGAAAATATACAAAATTTGACTTGCTCAAAGTTCAAAAACTTTATTAAACTAAGTTTGTATAAAAAGGGTTATTATAATATTAAGGAATTTATGGATGATAATAACCCCTGGAAATGAGGTGATCGCTACCAAGCTATTTCTATTTTGTTGTGTTGTTAATTTGTGTAACATTATGATTGTAAGCTGTTATTTAAAAAAAAAAGTCCCGCTGGGTTTCTTGCTGGTTCTTCCCAGGACAGAGGTTTTTTCCGAACCAATGGTAATCAAACGAAAGAGTGACTTTCAATAAGTATTATTTATAATCTATATTGAATAAAAAAGTTTCTGTTTCTGTTTCTATCAATTTTAAACCACGCGTCACCACTTATTATCTAAAAATCTAAAGTACAATAGTTAACCCATTTCATCGATAGGTAGCAGGTTGTGATTTTTTCCTGTAGATGAGTTTTTATATTTGCTGTTAATCTTTATATTACTCGCTGCCCTACTGTGTGTTGACAATCTCATTTATTCTTTACCACCGAGTACTCTACGTGTTAAATCAAATTTTAAAAGAGCTATTAACAATTTCGTTGGTTTCGGCGAGGATCAAACTTTCTTTTTTGCTTACGATGCAGGCCTGATTTATAAGTTTTTTATGTTTTTTTATTGTATCAATCGCGTCAATTAATCTCTTTTATTTTTAGAATTGATTTCAACAGCGCCATCTATCTTTAAATCTCTATACATGTGATGATAACATGCTGTCTCTGTTTCTGTACATTGTATAGTATATTAATTTGTGGCTAAAATCATTATGGAGACTGAAATTCATTAAATAAGTTAATTTTTAGAATTTTTAGAATTGTCTATCTATCTGTCTGTCTGTCTGTTTATGAACGTATCACGTCTTAAGTAAACATCTTATTTTCAAAGAAATCGTTAAGAAAATCATAAAACGTATCTTCCAGTTCATTTGTTTTATTAAATTGGTTAATTCTATCGAAAGTTATGATTATTATTTATTTTTTTATTTATTTATTTATTTATTTATTTACACTTTATTGCACCTTAATTAAAGGATTACAAAGGGCGGACTTAATGTCTTTAGGCATTCTCTCCCAGTCATTCCGGGACGTGTGGAAATTAGGTGATAGGTGACAAAATAAAATAAACAATAGAGTAAATCAAGAAAAAAAAAACTACTGTAAAACTTAAAAATAAACTAATATTATATATATAAATACAATAAACTTATATACTTTAAAATATAATACAGACAATATATTATATTTACATGCAAGTATATAGATACATAAATATATACATATTATAAATACAAATAGATATATAACATAAACCTATAAATAAAATAACAACAAAGGTAACCAAATTGACCATACTAACTATCGTTAAAGTGCTTGTGTACCAATCTTTTAAAGGCAGTCTTATTAGATGTATTTCTGACGTCATCGGGCAAGGAGTTCCAGAGCAGTGCAGCCTAAATGGTGAATGGTGTTGATTATTATTTTGAAATATAGGATCGATTTGTTTAAAGGCGCCATAAAATCTCAGCAGTAGTAAATAAAATGAGTCGTGTGTAAAAAAACGTTCTATTATAATATATTTATACTTAAAAAACATTAAAATTGTATGTTTTTCTTAAATTAAAAAAGCATGTTTTCTCACAAAGAACGTAATAGATGGCGTTGTACAACTTACAACTTTTACTGAATTCCGGTGTTAATATTTTTCACCGGTGAATCGTATTGAGACTCACTGAAGTAATTTACGTTAACGAGTCCAATTAAGCTAAAAGAGCCGTGTGGGGTGTGGGCTAACAGTACAAACAGTATCAGAAAATAGAAACCAGAAAAAAGACATGTACGCCCAAGCTAAACGTAGCAAAATTGCAACAAAAACAAAATGTCATGATGTTGTTTTATACCAAGAATCCATCTTATATCAAATAACTTTCCTATCAGTTTTAAGCGTGTTCTGTTCCCACTTCCCAGTCAGCGTGTGTTATGCGATGACCGATGACCGTAAATAAAGCGCAAGGTTAAACTTTACGCGTTGCAGGAGTGGACCTCAGTACTGATTGTTTTGCACATGCCAAACTCTATGTTGCTTTTTCCCGCGTTAGTAGCTCCGCTAACATTTTTCTGTACGCCCCGCTTGTTTACTTCTAACGTCATTTACACAGAAGTTCTATCACAAACGACTCAGAACTTTGAGCATAACGATTTATTTTGTTACCACTTATTCATACAGTAATGATATAAATCGTTTAATATTCTCTTATCTAAACGTCAAATTCTTTGAGTGAAACCTATATACGCGAGCTATGCCGCGGGCACAGCTAGTATGAAATAAATGTAGCGATCAAAACATGTAAGATAAGATATATACACATTTTTTTTTCGAGGTACGACAGACGACAGATGCCATTTTCGCATTACGCCAATTGTGCGAAAAGTACAAGCGCGTGCATAGAGATCTGCACATGGTTTTTGTCGACCTTGAAAAGGCGTACGATCGGGTTCCCCGTGAGGTCCTGTGGTGGGCGTTAAAGATGAAAGGTATGCCTGGGAAGTATGTGAGGTTGGTCCGTGCTATGTACAGAGCATCCCGTACATGTGTACGATCTGCCGCGGGAACTACGGGCAGTATCGATGTGGCCGTAGGGCTGCACCAAGGGTCGGCACTGAGCCCTTACCTCTTCCTACTGATTATGGACGCTTTGACGTCGGACCTGCAGGATGAGGCACCCTGGTGCATGCTCTTTGCCGATGACATCGTGCTTGTCGGGGAAGAAGGCATCGAGGTACAGAGCAGACTGACGGGGTGGCAACGGAGGCTGGAAAGTGTTGGCCTGAAGATCAGCAGATCCAAAACCGAATATCTGTGCTGTGATTTCGGCGGTCTTTCCAGTCCTGTACCCATGTCGTTGGATGGCGCTATACTGCCTATCTGCTCAGATGTCAAGTACCTCGGTTCCCTCATTCAAGGCGACGGCGGAATAGATAGAGCTGTGCAGCATAGGATTAACGCAGGGTGGATGAAATGGCGACAGGTCACAGCCACAACGTGCGATCCCCGAATGCCAATAAGGCTGAAGGGGAAAATTTACAAATCGATCATCCGACCTGTCGTCATGTATGGAAGTGAATGCTGGGCCGTCAAGAAGAAGGATGAAAATAGACTGCATGCGAATGAAATGAGAATGTTACGATGGATGTGTGGTGTGACAAGGATGGATAAGATAAGGAATGAGTATATAAGAGGAAGTCTGAAAGTAGCGCCAGTGGTAGAAAAGGTGAGAGGAAGCAGATTGGCATGGTTTGGGCATGTGATGCGGAGGAATGAAAGTCATGTCACAAAACGAGTGTTGAATATGAATGTGGAGGGACACACGGGCAGAGGAAGGCCGAATAAAAGATGGATCGATTGTGTGAAGAGTGATATGAGAATGAAAGGAGTAAGTATGGAAATGACGGCTGATAGAGAGGAATGGAACAAAAAGATTTACTGCGCCGACCCCAGATAATGGGAAATGGTTTAGAGAATGATGAATTAAATGGGTGTAAAGATTTTAAAACGTTATTAAATTAAACGAACTACGATACGACATGGTCAACGAACAGCAGCATCCAACTTTTTTTTATAGAATAAGGTTGACAAACGAGCAACACATCCACCTGACACTAAGTGGTTGCTGTGCCTCAAATACACCTACATCTATTCTTGATTACAAATCAAAATGCATATGCGTTGTCGCCCGTGAGGACTAAAATGGAATGCTTCGTCTCCAGTAAATAGGGTCTCCGGTCCTCTTCACTTACCATATGAAAATTACCAGCATTAAGCTGCTATTTTTCTGTGAGTGCATGGTGCTTCCACGGTGGAGCCCATAAGAAGAAGAAGTAATAAGACTACTATCTCTCTGTAACTCTTCAAAATGGAATACAGCAGTGCACGCACTGTTTAGAGGCAGAAATATTTTAGAGGGTGAAGAACAAATCAACTCCTAGATAGAAAAGGGATCCTACCACTAGGGATTCTAATATATTAGTAATGGTTAGGTTATTATTCTTCTGTCTTCGTATATATATATATATATTCAGAATGAAGTTTAAAATGTTCTCTATAGATAATTAATAACTTATTCGATTGTTTAGTCAAGAATTACCCGATCAGCAGCCCGTGATTGCAAACAATTTTAATCGAATCTGGAGAGGTGTCTTTCATCAAAAGGCACTGTTAACACGGCAAAAACCGTTGATAAAAGGATTTCCGTATGGAAGGAAATTCGTTCTATTTATTGAGTGGAAAGTTTTCCGAAATTATCTTGGAGATTTTTTTTACATTTGAGATTTTATATTATTTTATATATACACCCATATTTTATATTACGCCCGAGTAGGAGGGTCATTTTTTTGAGTTTATGTATTTATGTGTTATGCCTATTTATATGGCACGCTCTGTTGCCTAAAATAACTTGGTGGATTTTAATATTTTATAGAGTTTCATTAGGTTAGCCTTGTTCCAAAAAGCCTCGGATTTTCCGATAGAATCTGATTTGCTACAAACGTGAGATCAGATAATATTGTGTCTGTTTTATCGCCTTTTTTTCTTCAGTCACTGTCATAGGACGTCACGAGCGAGGCTCATCTATGGTGGATGTTTTTTTACGTTGAAATTCGGCGCACCAACGTGCAACTGTAGCTACGACGGAGCAAATTCGTAAGGGGTACCCCTAACTAATTACTTAAACCTGGGTTGACTCGTTACTTAGAAAAACTTTCTAAAGGCATAATATACTTAATAACAGCTCGTTATTTAATATAATCTGCTTTGATAAACACTCTATAAGTAACCACAAACAATTGATTTTAATTTAACAAAAATGACACCAATTTATTTTTTAAGTATGTTACAGACAGTTTTTGCATAGCTATTCCAAAGAATTAGCTTATTTTCAATTATTTTTCCGCCCCTCGTAAGCAGGTAGTCTGAATACTTTGATCCTTAAAAAGGCACGAGACGTTACATTATTTTAACAGGAAAACAGCGAAAGGTTCACATGACAAAATGTCACTACCTTGTTATTAATGGAAAGCGACTTAAATTAATACAACCTTGTCGTTTGAAAAATGACCTGTCAGCGTTGGTGTGTGAACAAAGCTAATTTTATATGTGCATGTGGACATTTTTATAGTATACTAGCGATCCACCCCGTCTTCGCATGAGTGATTTCTGTATCTCAACAACAGTGTCACCTACCGGGTCTAATTTTAAATCAAAATTTTCATGCGATTCCTTGATGCTTTAGATTCACAATTAGATTCTCTATTCATTTTGTGATTCTCTTTCCCATAATGTCTACTGTGTACGTGATAACAGTGGCCGCCATTGTGCTCTCTCTAAGCTTTGATGAACGCAAATGTTCAACAGGCAATATTGGATGAAAAGCTGTACTGCTCTAAGTAATTACTTATTATTTAACTACATAACACACTAATTAAAATCAAGAAATACCTATTAAAAGCCCATTGTTGAACATAGGCCTACCCCATTGACTGGAGCTACATTTGCCCCCATATATCTAAATTAGCAAGCAGACTTAGTTCTGCAGCATATGCTGTAAGAAAGATTAGAGGTCTCACAGATGTTGAGACAGCTAGATTGGTGTATTTTAGTTACTTTCACAGCGTAATGTCTTATGGAATTTTGCTATGGGGTAATGCGACTGATATTGAAGCTATATTTGTTTTGCAAAACAGAGTCGTTTGGGCGATTTATAACCTAAATTGTAAAGAGTCACTCAGATAAAAATTTAAAGAAATAAACATATTAACCTTGGCATTGCAATATACTCGTATTTATGAAAATGTAATGTATGTACATAAAAACATAAATAGCTTTAATAATAATAAGGATGTGCATACTTTAAACACTAGGAACAAACATAAGCTTGTAATACCAGTTACTAGACTCCACAGTATCAGTAATTCATTTATGGGGCAATGTATACGCCTTTACAACAAAATCCCAGAACTTATTCAAAGTTTGTCATTAAACAAGTTTAAAAGTTTTATTAAAGAAAAACTGTACAAAAAGGGTTATTATAATATCAAGGAATACATGAATGAAAATAACCCCTGGAAATAAGGTGATCGCCACCATGCTGTTTCTATGAAAAATTATTTAAAAATTGTATTAACGTAATTATGTTTGAAAAAAAAAGTCCCGCTGGGTTTCTTGCTGGTTCTTCCCAGGATAGAGGTATTTTCCGAACCAGTCGTAAATAAAAAATGACTTTCAATAGGAATTATGTAATAATCAATATTAAATAAAAAAATATTCTAATCTATTCTATTCTATCCAATCGCAGAGAAGTGTAAGACAGGGTGAAGTTATATCCCCGAAACTCTTCACCGCTGCATTGGAAGACGTTTTCTAGCTTCTGGACTGGAAAGAATACGGTATTAACATCAACAGCTAGTACATCACTCACCTTCGATTTTCCGATGATATAGTCCTTAAGGCAGAATCGCTGGAGGACCTAAGCACTATGCTCAATGACCTCAATAGTGTCTCCCAACGGATAGGTCTTAAGATGAACATGAACAAAACAAAAATCATGTTTAACGTCCATGTCACACCTATACCGGTAGTTGTTGGGAGCACTAAGCTCGAAGTTGTTGACAAGTATGTTTACTTGGGACAAATAGTCCGACTAGGTCAGTTTAACTTCGACCGAGAGGTCAATCGACGGACTCAACTCGGCTGGGCAGCATTCGGGAAACTACGACACATCTTCTTGTTAGACATATCTCAAAACCTTAAAACGAAATTGTACAACAAGTGCGTATTGCCAGTGATGACTTACGGCTCTGAGACATGGTCCTTCACTGCTGGCCGTATGAGGAAGCTCAAGGTCGCTCAGCGAGCTATGGAGAGGGCTATGCTCGGGGTTTCTCTGCGTGATAAACTTAGAAATGAGTATATCCGCAGTAGAACCAGAGTAACCGGCATATCCCAACCGATTAGTAAGCTGAAGTTGCAGTGGGCCGGCCATATAGCTCTAAGAACCGACAACCGATGGGGAAGAAAGGTTCTCGAGTGGCAGCTTCGTACCGGAAGGCAAAGTGTAGGGTGACCCCCACTAGATGGAGTGACGACCTGCTAAGACATGCAGGAAGTCGATGGATGCAGGTGGCTTAAGACCGTGTTTTGTGGCATTACTTGGGGGAGGCCTATGTTCAGCATTGGACTTATAAAAGGCTGTAATGATGATAATGATGATGACTCCTCTCAACCATTTTGGTTTTACGTCAAATTCTTTCACAGTTACTTCCATCTCACTCTGGAACAAATTGCCTGTTTACCTAAGAATTAACGTAAAGTGAGTAATTTTTTAAGTTCCTTGAAAACTATATATCTGGAAAATGGCCGTCTGGCCAAGCTAGCAGGTAGGCATGCAATCGATACTAACACTACTTAATCTAACACTTTTCGTACGTCAGAAAATAACTGATGTCTGGTGGCCCTGGAGTCTTGTCCCATAAAGACTAAATAAAGAAATTAACAAGAAATCTCAACTTTTATAACACATTATGCAAGAACTTGTCTCTTAGAAGTGTAATTAGACTATAGCGATGCATAAAAGCCTAGTTATTTATCAAATGAGCTATTTGCTACTTCGTTATGGTATTCGCTAGGGCTTTTGCTTTTAAGCTCATCTTCTATATATTCATTACCACTACTCGAAGAAAGGATAAAGTTGTTATTGAAAATCAACCATCTAAAAAATGTAACTAATACGTGCTGGATGTATGAAAATTACTTAATTTAAGTAATAATACTGCCGCTTTGTATTGGACATTTAAATATTATAACAACACTTTTGCATTGGAACAAAAAGTGATATATACCGAACTTTGTTTAAAATTATTGTATAATTCTTATTTCGTATCATTCCTTTTATTTATAAAATATCAAATATTACTCGAATTATTATATACTTTACGGGTTTATTTTCGAATTATTCTAACGATAATTTGATTTGAG